AGTTTGCGGGGTTCATGCGTATCCACATGCGCGGTCTTCTGCTATGAGGCGTTCTCTCTGGCGAGGTACCGTGTCCGCCCTGCCTTGTTGCTCCGGTGGCTCCTACCCCACCGGCACCGCCGGTACTTGCTGCTGATGCGTCTCAGGCTGATCGGGATGCAGCCAAGGCTCTTGATGATGCTGCAGTTGACGTTTATGATCAGCAGGTATCCGCCTATACTGATGCTCTTTCTGCCTATCGGGATGATCTGTCTGTTTACACTCGGTGGTGCAATGATGATGCTCGAGCTGCTGCTATTCTCACTGCGACCGTCCTTCCTCAGTTTGCTTCGAAGTTCATGGGACTTGGCACAGTTCAACACTATCAGCCATCTGGTGATGCTCTCTACCTATCTATGGTGCGTCAGGAGCACGCACTCCAGCAAGGTGATTCCTCTGTTGATGAGTTCTACTCCCAGTGCTCTGCCATCTGGCGTCAGCTTAACTCTCTTCGAACAGTTGTTTGTGGAACTTGTCGTTGTTGTCAGACTACATGGTCCGATTTGGAGTTTCAGCGGGTTCATGAGTTCTTATCTCGTCTTCGCTCTGAGTTTGAGCCTCGACGTGCCCACCTGCTTGCTCGTGGCCGTGTTCCTATCTCGAAGGTGCTTGCTGAACTTCGTGCTGAGGAGACCCGCCTTCGCTCTGCTGGGTTACTTGTGGTTCCCTCGGTGTTGGCCGTACGAGCTCCTGTGTCATTTGCTCGTCTTACCGCTCCACCGTTCCTGCCCACTCCTTTAGCAGGGGGGGTGACTCGCCATCCTTATGATGAGAAGGGTCCGTCACATCATGCCACCTTCTATGGTTACTGCTCACGATCAGGTCACCCAGAGTCTGATTGTCGCCAGAAGAAGCGAGATCAGAGGCGCTCCTCTTCCAGCGGGACTCCAGGGTCTTCCTTGGCTCCGTCACTCACTGACCAGGACATTGTACGCCTCAAGCGTCTACTTGCTTCCTCCGACTCCTCGTCGACTGGTTCAGCTGCTGCTGTGACTGCATCCACTTCTCCACCACCGCAGGTATCTACATAGTCAGGTACATCTTCGTGGGTTCTGGATTCTGGAGCCTCTTTTCATATGTCTTCTGATTCTTCCGTGTTGTCTTCTCTCCGACCTCTTGATTCGCATGTTAATATTCTTACCGCCGATGGCACACCTCTTCCTATTGCTAGTCGTGGTATTCTTTCCACTCCATCTTTTTCTATTTTTAGTGTTTCACATGTTTCTCGCCTTACCATGAATCTTTTTTCCGCTGTCCAATTTACTGATTCTGGTTGTCGTGTCATTCTTGATACCGACTCTTGCTCCATTCAGGATCGTCGCACCAAGGCTTTGGTTGGTGCTGGCCCCCGGCGGCGTGAGTCAGAGGGCCTTTGGGAGGTTGACTGGCTTTGTGTTCCTTCCGCTGCCACCACTTCTGCCAGCTCTCATGCCCTTGCTGCCTCTTCGTCTGCGTCCTTCCCGCAGTGGCATCATTGTCTTGGTCACATCTGTGGCTCTCGCTTGTCCTCTTTACTTCGTCAGGGCCTCTTAGGGTCTGTATCTGGAGATGTTCCTTTACATTGTAATGGTTGCATACTTGGCAAACAGACCCAGTTACCTTATCCTACCAATGAGTCGGTATCTCAGCGTCCTTTTGACTTAGTTCATTCTGATGTTTGGGGCCATGCTCCCTTTGATTCGAAAGGTGGTCATCGCTACTATGTTCTGTTTATTGATGATTTCTCTCGCTACACTTAGCTCTACTTCATGAAATCTCGTAGCGAGGTTCTCTCTATATACAAACGATTTGCTGCCATGGTTCACACCTAGTTTTCCACGCCCATTCGTACTTTTCGTGCTGACTCCGCTGGAGAGTATATCTCCCACCTGTTGCGTGGTTTTCTCATGGAACAGGGTACTCTTGCCCAGTTCTCATGTCCCGGTGCTCATGCTCAGAATGGCGTTGCCGAATGTAAGCATCATCATCTGCTTGAGACAGCTCGTGCGCTGATGATTGCCGCTTCTCTTCCACCCCACTTTTGGGCTGAGACTGTTTCTACATCCACCTATCTCATCAACATTCAGCCATCGACTGCTCTGCAGGGTGGTATTCCTATGGAGTGTCTCACAGGTCGCTCTCCTGACTAGTCAGCTCTTCGTATGTTTGGATGTGTGTGCTATGTTCTTCTTGCCCCCCGAGAATGCACCAAACTGACTGCTCAGTCGGTTGAGTGTGTTTTCCTTGGCTACAGTGATGAGCACAAGGGCTCTCGTTGTTGGGATCATGTTGGTCGTCGCTTACGCATCTCGCGTGATGTGACTTTTGACGAGTCTCGTTCTTACTACCCACGTCCTTCTTCCTCGACCTTCTCTATGGATGATATTTCCTTTCTTCTCCTTCCCGATACACCCCGCTATGTGCCTCATGTTTCACCTTTTCCTCTAGCACCGCTCATTCACTCTCCTTCACCACCGACCCCCTCTTCCCCATCCTCCTCCTCCACCTCTCCATCGTCATCTCCAGTCCATCGCCTTCTCTCACCGTTCCCTCTTCACTATACTTGACGCCCTCGTCCTGAGGATGCTTCCCCCGATGCGCCTTCCACCTCTGGTGTGCCTCTCCTCATGCCTCTCCCGGTTCATAACCTCCGTTCTCGGCCTCGCCCCCCGCTTGATCGCTATTCACCTGATCGGTACGGTCTCTCTGTTAGTGCTGAGCCCACTTCCTATCGGACTGCCACGACTCAGCCTGAATGGCAGCTTGCGATGGTTGAAGAGCTTGCTGCCCTTGAGCGCTCTGACACATGGGATATGGTTTCTCTCCCTTCCGATGTTCGTCCCATCACTTGCAAGTGGGCCTACAAGATTAAGACTCGCTCCAATGGCTCCCTTAAGTGTTACAAAGCTCGTCTTGTGGCCCGTGGTTTTCAGCAGGAGCAGGGACGCGATTATGATGAGACATTCGCTCTTGTGGCCCACATGACCACTATCCGCACCCTCCTTGTTGTGGCTTCTGTTCTTCATTGGTCTATCTCTCAACTTGATGTCCAGAATGCCTTTCTCAATGGCGAGTTGCGTGAGGAGGTTTATGTGCAGCCACTACCGGGGTACTATGCTCTTGATGGTATGGTCTGTAGACTTCGTCGCTCCCTCTATGGTCTTAAACAGGCCCACATGCCTGGTTTGAGCGCTTCGCCTCTGTGGTGACTGCCGCCGGTTTCTTGCCTAGTGATCATGATCCCGCGTTGTTTGTTCACACGTCTCCTCGTGGTCGGACTCTTCTCCTTCTCTATGTTGATGACATGATCATTACTAGTGACGATTCTGACTACATTGCCTTTGTTAAGGCTCGCCTTCGCGACCAGTTCCTCATGACTGATCTTGGTCTACTTCGCTATTTTCTTGGGATTGAGATCTCCTCGACCTCTAATGGCTTCTACATCTCCCAAGAAAAATATATTCAGGATCTTCTTGATCGCGCTGCTCTCAGTGATGAGCGCACTATTGTGACTCCTATGGAGCTCAACGTTCAGCTTTGTGCCTCTGATGGTGATCTTCTTCTTAATCCCACTCGCTATCGTCACCTTGTTGGCAGCCTTGTCTATCTTGCTGTTACGCGTCCTCACATCTCCTATCCTGTCCACATCTTGAGTCAGTTTGTTTCAGCCCCCACCTCTGTCCACTATAGCCACCTCCTCCGTGTTCTACGATATCTTCGTGGCACGATCTCTCAGCGTCTTTTCTTTCCCCGCTACAGCTCTCTTGAGCTCCAGGCCTACTCTGATGCTATCTGGGATAGTGATCCCTCTGATCGGCGCTCGCTGTCTGCTTACTGTATCTTTCTTGGTGGCTCCCTTATTGCCTGGAAGACAAAGAAACAGACTGTAGTTTCTCGCTCGAGTACAGAGGCTGAGTTGCGAGCCATGGCTATGTTGACGGCTAAGGTGATCTGATTACGATGGTTACTTGAGGATTTTGGTGTGTCTGCTACTTCCTCGACTCTCTTACTGTCAGACAGTACCGGTGCTATCAGTATTGCGCGTGACCCGGTGAAGCATGAGCTCACCAAGCACATCGGTTGGATGCCCACTTTTGTATGTGCTGCTGTGCAGGATCAGATTCTTGCTCTCCACTATGTGCCCTCTGAGTTACAGTTGGCGGACTTTTTCATGAAGGCACAGACTCGCGCAACATAGTTTTCTTCTCTCCAAACTCAGTGTTGTTGATCCACCATGAGTTTGAGGGGGGGTGTTAGATATGTATAGTCCCGTTTCGGTACATCCTCATTGTATAAGGGGTTTCTTGCACTTTGCCACACATGTATATGTATTGGCCTTTGGCCCCTCAGTAAAGTTAGTTGCTCACTCATCTAACACTATCGACAGGACTCTGAACTTTGGTAGCACATCATGATATATAGCATGAGCTTCTGATCAAATTAATACTGCATGTTACTACATGATATCTGCTATCCTGTAGGGGGTTAAATCGCCAAAATAAGTCAGCCAAGGCACTTTTTCAAAGCAGTATCGAACTACTGAAGTTAAGATCGAAGAGCTAAGAGCCGCAACTCTCAGTCAGCTGTCTTCCGGCCTATTTATATTCGGAAGACCTGTAGAGCCACATCTTTCCCTCGTACTCCCTCTGTCAGACACTTATTTTGGGAATATTTGCTACACACAACACCGACAGCGTACATTATCACAATTGCATAGAATACAATTCCATAAGTATCTACTGTTCAACCACCAGCATGTACTGTACAGATATACAATATGCCAGTACAAACTCGGGTGCATCAACTATTCAACCACCAGTACGTAGCTTTTACATGGCCTGTGAAGCAAGGTAGTAACCCACCCAGCACACACAAGCTACTTACTTACCAATTACCACGGACCAGGAAGCACATGCTTCGCTTATTCCAACGATACATAGAAGAGCTGCATCTTCATGAACCTGATGGTCCACAGTGCTAATTCACTTCTCCCACCAGTGAAGGAAATCCTTGCGCCTGTTGATCTTCTTCTGCAACTGGAGAACGCCATACAGGAGAGCTTCAGCTGTTGGCGGGCACCCAGGGACGTAGATGTCCACGGGAACGATCCGGTCGCACCCACGCACGACGGAGTACGAGTAGTGGTAGTATCCACCGCCGTTGGCGCAGCTGCCCATCGAGATCACCCACCGAGGCTCTGGCATCTGGTCATAAACCCTATCGAGAGTAGATCAAGCTCAGGATATCAGCTAGATCTAGATAAAGTAAAATTCCATATGTACAAAATGGTTATTTAAAATGAAAAAAAAGAACTCAATGACCCCTGCAAAAAGAACACAAGGTTTTAAGCTAATCTGTATTTTTGTGGCTCGGTTCTTGGGATATCTGAATTTATAAACCTTGATAAATTGAAATGAACAGTCATGTCTATGCCGTTTCAAGAAAATTGGCATCAACCAAAAGCAAGTCATACAGGACAAAAGAACCTTTCTGTTCCACTTACTACAGTAACCATACAATCAAGGCGCATATGTCACACTATGTTTGTGTTCCTTTCTTATTCCATAAAGGCAAATCGAAAATTCGAGATAGCATGTCGGGCAAAAATAAGTCTCTGTAATCTGGAAATAGACAAATTGGACTTCTAGGACTAGAACAGGTGCTACATCATGTTTAGAGAGCCACCAACCACAAGTGAAACAGCTTAGAAAAGAGTAATGACGTGCAGGAGTGCGATATTTTACTCGTAATTAAGGTTTGATCTTCTCGAATTAATTTGAAGTTACACAGGAGATACATATAAATGCAGGTCTCCCATTTCAGCAAGGAGGCGGTAGAGTGTAAATTACTCCCTCCATCCCATAATATAAGAGCATTTTTGTCACGACACTTATATTATGGGGCGGAGGGAGTAGTAAGCATGCACAGCTATCTGTATGAAAAAGTTCTCTCAGAGTTCTGTCCTAGCTAGGTTTCCACATGCAGAGTTCATAAGAGCTCACTGAATTGTAACAATACACGCAATGGTATGGCTGATTTCAGCATAAGCCTATTGTAGAGCAGACTGACATACATGACAAACAAATAAGGGGCAATCTCTCTGATTAACTGAACAAATAACATGACAAGAGTATTAGCCTTCTTTCAACAAAAACAGAACACATTTTGTGATAGGCCATATTTGCAAAAAAAAAAATGTGATGTGCAGTCATGACGATGAGACCAACATGTACGTGCACAAATGCTCAGGATGCACAGCATATCGCACACGATTCATCGGGGAACATGACCTAAATCATGAGGAAACATTCGTGCGCAAAGCAAATTCGTAGGCTAGAAATGTTCGTCCCCTGCTTACGATGATCGAAGTGCATCAATCAAGAGAAGAAATGGGCAGACGGAGGTGACACGTAAATACGTACTTGCGGAGCGCGGGCGCCATCTTGTTGGTGAGCGTGCCGGCGACGATCATGCAGTCGGACTGGCGGGGCGAGGGGCGGAAGATGACGCCGAAGCGGTCGAAGTCGTAGCGGGCGGCGCCGGCGTGCATCATCTCCACGGCGCAGCAGGCGAGGCCGAACGTCATGGGCCAGATCGAGCCCCGCCGCGCCCAGTTCATCAGGTCGTCCACCTTGGACACCACGAACTCCGCGGCCTTCGGCATCGGCGCCGGCGCGGGCGCCCCGCCGCCGTACGGCGCTGGCGCCGTTGTTCCCGCTCCCGCCGCGCCGACGGTGGAGGAGTAGGCTCGCCGGCCGGCGGGGAGGAGCGCGAGCCGCGCCGTGCGGGGGAGGAGGAGCGCCATGGCGAACTGGGGATGGTCGCCGGAGACCGGAGACGCACGATGGTGGCCGGGGACAGGTGTGGGCTGTGGCTTCCCGAAGGTGGCGGGGGATGGCGTGGTACGCTGGAAAGGGTCGGCAAATGCGCAGAGCGGTGCGCGCCGCCTGAAGCCTTGTGCGGTTGGCCCTGGAGACACGTATACTTCTCTGTTTTTCCCCTCTGTTTTTAGAAATTGGACTATCTGTTTACAGTTAGATTATTACTCCCTCTGTCCTAAAATATAAAAACATTTTTGACACTAACTACAAACGTTCTTATATTTTAGGACGGAGGAAGTATTTTGCAAAAAATACAATTAGATTTTTCAATATGACTGTAATCATTTTATGGAAAACTAAAACTTCGTTAGTATTTTTGACACAAAATGTCTAAAGTGAACAAAGTTCGTGGATTTTACAAAGAGCTCATAAATATGAACAGGGACTCGTAGCTCTGTTAAGAAATTCATGATAAAGGAAATTTAAAGTTAGAATGGAAGAAATGTAAATATGATTTAAACCAAGGACTTGTAAAAAAGGAAAAATCATAAATATTTTGTGATTTTTTTTAAACCAGGTTAACTAACACGTAAGTTATCACATGGCACATGTGATAAGCAATTCAAACTATTTAAAAACAAAATAAAAAGACACACAAGTTACGAACAACAAGGAAACATCACTAGCGCGGTTTTAGGTTCATTTATGATATGCCTTCACTTGACAAGTACTTACCAGTGTTACTAACACCGTACTGGAAATTTGACCATAAAGAGTCAAGCCATTAGCAATATAACTAGCACCGAGTTTGAGATTTAGCTCGGTTAAGAGATAGTAAATTTCAAAAAAAAAACATAAGTGACTGTAAACACCAGCAAAATTCAACCATGATGAATAGAACATCTGGGACACATGAATTTCTAGAAAGGTCTAGAACTAAATCAAAAGGTACCAAAGAAAATAGTAAGCCACCAAGAACTCTAAAATATGAAAGAGAAAACAAGTAATTTCAGAACGATTTAAGGTCAGCTCATCATGAACAAATTGAAGTAACCATACATCAGTGTAAGCATGCACCCATTTCCTAGTCATAATAAATACTCACATAATCATCGATATTCACAACTAAAGCATTTTCCGACCTTAGGCGACCAACCCATCCCCGACATAATTTAGATAACCCCAAGTAATCAAGGTAAAACCTTTTTGCTTGAAAGATAACATGAACAAAATTTTGAGTAAACAAGACTTGTGATCGATCCTTATTGTGTTGATTGATGTTTGGTTTAGAAAATTTAGAACAGTAAAACTGGGCACCATAGGATCTCTCTCACACCATTAGCCTCCAGAGCCGCTCGATTTCAGGTTTTAGTTGTCGTTGGCCTTTAGATGCACATGGATTTTCTTGAACGCTACCGGCCAGGAACTTCCTAACCGTCAACTGCCTCTAGCACAAGTTTCCGGCGCGTGGGCATTTGGATGCGAACGCTTAAGCAAAATTTTCCCTACCCAGGCCTAATATCCTAAAGGCAGCTATTTCCGTATCCTTTGGATGTTCTTTAAATGATTTTTTTCACTACTTTTGCATCTCTTTTTCTTTGGCTTTCTTCCTTTTTTTTATTTTGCCATTTTTTCATTTGATTTTCTTCATTTATTTTCATACCTCAGTTTTTACCGGTTTCTTCAGTTTTTATCTGTATTTTTATTATTTTTAGTCTTTTTTCATCCACATTGTATTCTTTGTATACCTCAGGAACATTATTTTATACACATTTAATTTTTTTAAAATACAAATATATTTTTTAAACATATTGTTTATGTCTAATTTTTTCATACACATTATACATTTTTGCATACATCTAAAACATCTTTATATGTGTTTAATATTTTTAAAATACTTATATGATACCAAACATTATTCAGATACACAATGCGAACACTTTTCTTACATTGGATAAATTTTTTTTAGTGTCACCAATATTTTGTTTGGAATGTGTGAACATGTTTTTAAATGTAACATACGATTTCTTTTTGGATTGTAAAAAACATTGTTTTTCACAATTACACAAACTTTCCTTTTACATTGTACAACATTTTTTTTGGAAAATGTATGTATAATTTTTAAATGCATGATCATTTTCTAAATGTCGCATACAAACATTTTCTAAAAGTTAGGCCATCAATTTTTTACACTGCATTTATATTTTCTAAATGTGCGTTGAACACTTACAAAAAAAACTAACTAAAACGTTTTTTCTTAGTATATGTACTTGTTATTTTCAAAATGTAAACGAAAGTTCCATTAAAAAGTACTCCCTCTGGTCCTTTTTACTCTGCATACTAGGTTTGGCTGAAGTCAATCTTATCCAACTTTGACCAAGTTTATACAAAAAAAATATTAACATTCACATAACAACACATTTATTATTAGATCCATCTCAGAATATATTTTCATATTATATTTATTAGATGTTATAGATGTTAATATTTTATAATAAATTTGGTCAAACTTAGCAAACTTTGACTTCAGACAAAGCTAATGTACGGAGTAAAAAGGACCAGAGGAAGTACAAACAAAAGTAAAAAAATGTGACATCACCTTGACGAGACCACATGGTTACTGGGTTGGCCCACTACCAGCTCCCTGCAGACGACTGCAGGCCTTCTTTCTCGCATAAAGTAACACATAGACTCGCCCCATATAGACCATGTAATTCTTTCCTTCTTTTTGAGTTGGTCGTCCAATTAATTCTTAGATCGAATCCAAACACCACCATAATTTTGTAGTCTAGCCTGGTGTCATTTGAATAAATAAACACAGCCCAGCTCTTATGCCCTTCCCCAACACACTCACAAGAAGAGAAAGCTCATCACATGTACAATACGACAAATCAGCTCAAAAAATTACTGAGAGATATACATATTATTAGTTAATGCCAATTTAAACAAAGAAAAAACCCTTATGTATATTTGCACCAATCCCTAACATTACGGTGTAAAATGCAGGAATGTGTGTCATCAACGATCTAGTGGTATTTATAAGTGAGAGCAGGGAACCATCAATTTTGCTTAACTCATCATGGTGTTAGGCATCTTTTTTGACATCAACTCATATCAGAGTGAGTTGGCGCCCATACATGTACAAACAGAGAGACTAGATCTAGGTTTAATTGTTCTAAGAAACAGGGGATATATTAGAGTAGTTTCATGTAATCATGCCTAAATAATAAATGGAGAGAAAGGTTAGAGACCTTAGTAATCAGATAATAATCATGGTCAGAGAAAGAGGAAAATGATACATGTACAAACTGTTTCCCCGTTGATGTGAATACACGTACAAACTGAGAAGATATGAACTAGTTAATGATGGCATAGAACTGATGTCATGACTCTTATGTAGATAAATGCTTTGTTGCATGCTGAAGTCGGACGTCATGCATGTAGAATTGATGTAGTTCAGGAAGAAACGGACACACAAAAGTGTAACTTCTTCTTGTCACACCATCTAATTTGACCATGAGAGGGCCCTTTATATGTCCGTCTACATCTTTGTCTATCGACAATGTGGGACTAAACTCACATATGTCTTCCACTCCTTTAACTCTTCACATTTTTTAAAATTAATTGGGCTAAGGCTCATGTACTCTGGTCCTGGCTTTTTCTCAGCATATACATCAAACACACTCTGCATGTGTTTCTGATCCCTCTCATTTCTATCGACAAAAGTCTGAACTTGAATGATCTTCTCTCAGCTCACCCATATCTTTTATTTAGGCTAGTTTTCCCTTCTATAGACGGGTATTGAGGGAAAGCATGGCCACATACTCACATATCATGAACTAGGTTGAGAACTGGCATGGTGAAAAGAAAGCTCCATACTCATATATTGTGACCTTCTGAATAAATTAATACTACATCTATAACATGAGACCTACTGTCCTGCAAGGTTACCCCACCCAACAGATATATATTAAGGTTACATCCTCATGTATCATGAGCTTCTAGGCAAATTAGTGCTACATGCTATAACTGCTATCCAGTAAGGCCACCTCACCTAATATACCATAAACACATATTAATGTTATATGTGTGCACCAGTGCATGCTAAAGTAGGCAAACTTTAATTATAGTTTTTAGTGGCGCTTCATTGATTCTCAAGTAGTTTGCTAAGCAATTTCATATCACCACAGTAAAGATCGAAGATCATATCAGTTAGAACTCTAGATTAGTGGTCTTTAACCTATTTGTTAAACAAACCTCGAATGTATGCAACTTCACAATTGCATAGAGTGCATATCAGTTCCATCACATGTTCAGTACATAGATACAATACCCGTACATATTGGGGTACACCAAAAGCATCAATTGTTCAACCACCGATACATATCTTATTCATGGCATGTGAAGCAAGGTAGGCACCCAAGAAACACCGGTTACTTACCAATTACCTTGGCAAGTTTCCTGACCAGGAAGCACATGCATATATTATTTAATTTCACCAAGCATAAAAGAGAAAGAAAGAAAGAGCACAAAATCACATAGATGCGTCGAAGAAATGCAAGAACACAGTGATCCAAAGTGGTGATTCGCTTCTCCCATTGGTGAATGAAATCTCTATGCCTATTGATGTTCGATTGCAACTGAAGACACCCAAAAATAGAGCTTCAATGGTTGGACGGCACCCGTGGACGTAGATGTTCACATGAACAATTAAGTCACACTACACACAACAGAGTATGTGGTAGTATCCACCACCGTTGGCACAACTACCTATTGAGATCACCCATGCATCAAGGCATTTGGTAATAAAACCTACCAAGAGTATAGATGAAGCTCAAAAATGTTAGGGGCAGTAGTGTGTAAATCAGTTAGCATACACATCATGTGTTATTACACGATTACTGCCACAATGATCGTCTGGTTTAGTCATCTTCCTTGTGTTCTTCAAACCATTGTTTCATCTTGTGGCCTCGTTTTCAATGGT